AAAATGTTTATTTATTTTTATTTAATAATGATATACTATTATTTTTGTTGCCAAAAGGGGTTACAACAATGACAGACCTTTTGGCCTTTATGTTGTGCTTTGTATATCATCCTGTTCTATTTTGTTTTCCATTATTGTAGTGTATGTAATTTGTAAAATGTTTTTGATATAGGCCTAATGCTGTCTCTTATACACATCTAGATGTGTATAAGAGACAGTTAACAACTTAGGAATGTTGAAAGTATGAAATACATATAACCGACCAAGGGAATATAATTTGGTCAAAACAGATTTTGTTTACATAATGTTTTCATTATTTTTGTTGTAATTATGAAATTTTACTTTTTATCCATTTTATGCATGTATATATATATATATATATGTATGTATATATATATACATATATACATACATATATATTTATATACATACATACATATATATATTTATGTATATATATATATTCTTTTATATTTAATCAAAATGAATCACATAATCAACATTAAAGAAATGCATTAAATATTTATTATGTACATTTCATCACTTCATTGATTTAAATTGATTTATAGCCTTGTAAGGATTAGCTTTAGGCAAGTTGTAACTCTGCTTCATTTAAATATTACAGTGGAGACCTATACTACGCAGTGTACAGAAAGCAATGGGATGAAGTAAGACGCATTATTAGACGCCAACCTCTACTCGTAAATGAGAGACCTGTAAGTTATGTATTCCAAATTATTTGTTATTAGCTGTTGTTCTATGATGATCACAACAAGTAACAATCAACACAATTTAGTCAAGTTCACTAACCTAAAGGCATTCAACAGTATTATTATTATTATTATTATTATTATTATTATTATTATTATTATTATTATTATTATTATTATTATTATTATTATTATTAATATTATTATTATTATTATTATTATTATTAGTATTATTATTATTAATATTATTATTATTATTATCATTATCATTATCATTATCATTATCATTATTATTATTATTATTATTATTATTATCATTATCACTATTATTATTATTATTAATATTATTTTTATCATTATCATTATTATTATTATTATTATTATCATTGTTATTATCATTTCATAATATTTTTTATATAGCCGGAGTTAGTTTTGACCGAGGCTATTATGGCTAACGACAGGTACGCTTTCTCCAATATAAAGGCTTCTTCTATGAATGGAATGACCTGTACGAAACACAAACTCCTGTAGACCAAATCTAATACCGTTACGTTTTTAATCGTGCAGGAAATATCCTCAAGACAAATTAAGAATGAAATACTGCAAGGAAACAAAAAAATAAAAAAGAAACCAAATTATATTATACGCGAAAAAAACATTATTATCACGATTATCATTATTATTATTATTATTATTATTATTATTATTATTATTATTATCATCATTATTATTATTATTAATATTATTTTTATCATTTTTATTATTATTATCATTATTTTTATCATCATTATTATTATTATCATTATTTTTATCATTATTATTAATATTATTATTAATATTACTATTATTTATTATTATTATTGTTATTATTATTGTTGTTGTTGTTGTTGTTATTATTATTATTATTATTATTATTATTATTATTATTATTATTATTATTATTATTATTATATACACCACAGATTTCGCGGTCTGTATCTTGTCTTAGTAACTGGCAATTTTTTGCTACATTAAATCCATTTCTGAAACCATAAACAATTGTTTAATTGTAGCAATATTTAATTGGCAATTCTTTAAAAGATACAATATTAAATGATATAGTTCCAGGACCCTAACCACGCGTCGACTTTTTTTGAAAAATCACTTACGCGGATCGGGATACGCACTTTTACTGCAGAATACACAATCTTTCGAAAGAATTAAAAATTTTCCTTAATTATGATATATTATCCTATTACTTTAACATCTTAATTTTCTCTCCTCCTTTCTTTGATGTGTAATTTTTGGCTTACTCTACCTCTGAACTCTCTGATATTTAACCTTTCGCAAAGCCAATGCTCGTGTGATTTTGAGTCTCCTCCTCTATTAGGTCCAAAGTAGCCAAAAGCAGTTAGGTCGACCTGCTCGTGACTGACGCTGCGCTGTGGTGGACCTTGCCCGTCATTCGACACTACTTATACCCCTCCTGATTTACTCCTACACTTTTGGAGTCCTTGGGAGTTCGGCTTTTCCCACCAGAATCAGAACCAGAACATCATTGATTATAGAAATATTTAAGAATGGTAACTAATGTTACTTGTTATCTGTTACTCAGCAGTTTGACGTCCAACGGCATGGGGGCCCAGGGGGAAACATGTTGGTGCCCCTTACATGTCAGCAAAATATTTTCACTCACTAAGTGACCGGGGGTGTCGTATAGAGATAAGTTTTGAGATTGAAAAGACTAATTATTAGACAATGTCAAAACATATCGTGTGACTATTTAACAACGATCAACTAATATTTTGCACACATTTTTAAATTGAGTATTTGGGTAGACGTGCAGGTATTGTTTGGAATCATAGAAATACTAATTTTTAAAAAATAATAACCTCAAAAAATGGTATGACCAAGACTGTAAAGCTCTTTATCTGTCGTCTCATCTGCAAGGAGACTTGGAATGATAAAGATAACAAAATCTTCTAGAATCTTACAGAAGTCTTCGTAAAGGTATTTTAAATTATTAAATCACAAAAAATCATGCTTCCGTAAAACACTGTTTGATAAATTTGATAATTTGAAAGACAGAAACCCAAAGGCTTTTTGGAATATATACGATGAGTTGTGTGGTGCTGAGAAAAAAGTGTAAAATCAGAATTAGCCCAAAAGTATGGCCAGCTCATTTTATATAATTAATGAATAAAACTATAAAACATATCCACACTTCATAAAACTTAACAACTGTCCAGGTTTAATTTTAGAATCCTCTTTCACCATTGATGAAGTCATGAATGCTTGGGCTAGATAGATGGAATCCGTAACGAGGTGTTAAAAGCATGCGCAGTTACGATTGCGCCATTACCAGTAGTTATATTTAAATTGATTCTTCATAATGGTTCATTTCCATATGAATGGGGCACTTAACTACAATTCATAAGAAAAAGGGTGATAAGGAAATGCCTAACAATTACCGTAGTATCACAATCAGAAATTGTAAACGTTTTTGCCTTATTTTGTGTAAACGGTTAACTTTTTTCCAGATTCAAATAAGCTCATTCCAAAATAAGCAAATTGGTTTTGAAAAGGCTTCGCAATTCTAGTGATCATATTTTAGTTCTCAAACACTTTATTGACAAGAATGTAAATAAGTACTGCAAATCATATCTTCTTATTTGTTTTGTCGATTTTTCAGCAGCATTCGACACTATAATGGGGTAACGCATTGTTTTATAAATTATGTAAGCTTGGTGTCTCGGGTAAGTTGTTAGCACTACTTATTAATATCATCTGTTATGTTTTCCGTTAAATGTAACGGTAAAACTACCGACGGTAGGCGTCAAACAAGTTTAAATCTATTTACAAATAGTGATCTTCAAGCTATTTTCGATAGCTCGTTTTATCCTGTGAGCTTAAATAATTCAGGATTATAATGCCTACTTTATGCTGATGATCTCGTCAAACCAGTAATGGGCTTCAAAACACAATTGATAAGCTTTCTTCGTATTGCGACCAATTGAAACTAGATATAAATATTAACATAACAAAAATAATATTTTTTAACCAAAGAGGGCATCTACTTAAACCATTTTGATTCCTTTACAATGATAAGAATATTGATATTGCTAATGAATTTTTCTTCCTTGTATCTGCTTTACGCCCTCTGGCTCATTTGCAGTCGATATGAATAAACTAAAAGAAAAAGCAAGCAAGGCATTCTTTAAAGACTGTAACTCTGGCTTAAATTGTTTTATAGTAGTTTATCCAATTATCTCCAATTGTTGTGAAATATGGGCTCCATACATTATATTTAATTTTAATGGTAACAATTTAATGTCAATATGTGATAAACTTCCTAGTGAAAATCTTTATGTAAATTTATGTAAAGTTATACTGGTGTAAATAAAAGAACCACCAATAATGCTGTACGGGCTAGGTAGCCACCCGTTACTCATCAACATGTTAAGTCATGCAGTTAAGTATTGGTGGAACTTAAATGAAAAATGCAAAAAGGGCCACTCCTCACTAGCTACTGATGCACTAACTGAAAATAGATCTCTGTGTATTAATTAAAATATATCTACCTGGTCGTCCGGTATTTATAAAATAACTGACTCAACTGGGATTTCGGATGTTTGGAACCGACCTCTTACTTTTAATTCAAGCGAAGATCTGTCGCATAGAATAAGGGATACCGTATTCAAAACGGTCTCTATGAGCAATGTTGGTACAATAGTATTGTTAAACGGCCTGAGATGAGATCCTAATGTACGTATAAGCACACATTCTCTATGGAAAAACCGATTTTTGAAGTATAAGATCGCGTACTAGCGCGCATGTGATAATGATTAAAACTCCGGACGTTATGTCGTCCTAAGATTCCACTGGAAAAACTCAAGTCGAGGATGAAATCTCATTTTATTATCAAATGTAATGATTACAATGACCTGAGAGTATTGCTAATCAATGACCTGCAAAATTCCATTGCCAAACTCACAGCATCTAATTTTCCATCCAAACGTTCGCTCTCTGTATTCCATTTCTTTTTAAATATAAAAAAATAATTTATATTTCTTTCCTTTATTACCAATAAATATATTAAAAATAATGAATTTAAAAGAAAGTGCTTCTTGTAATTTATTTTGAAAATGCTAAAACACTGGCATTCTTGAATTGCGAGAGGAAAGTTGTTACAAACAGTTAAAAATTGAGATAACGAATGGGAGTACCTCTTAAAATATATACAATTATATATATAATATACAAGGCATGTAGACTGTAGAACACTTCATTTATTTTCGAAAGAAATTTTCGGCCAGTCCTCTGGCCTTCATCAGCTTTACTGAAAAAGGCTGATGAAGGCAAGAGGACTGGCCTGAAGGCCAGAGGACTGGCCGAAAATTTCTTTCAAAAATAAATGAAGTGTTCTACAGTCTACATGCCTTGTTGTCATAATTTTTTGTTTCAACGACTTATATATAATTTGAAGAACACACGTGGATTTACAATGATATATATATATATATACATATCTATATATATTATAAGAAACTAAATGAATTAACAATATCATAAGATATTTTACAGATTCTTATTTACCACATGAAAAGGGACTATGTCGGTATACTACTACAAATGTCCATACAATTTTAGTTGGTCTTCTAGCTTAAATATATTTAAATCTGCATTAAATCAACACTGGTCTACACCTCATGTAAATTTACTTGTTCACATTTATAAAGACAATACTACACATATTTCTCTTTCCTTTCTTCTTGCTTATCCCCCAACGGTACTGAAAAGTAGAAAACTTTGATTTATTTTCACTGGATAGGTCATTATACAGGCCCGTAGGAAGCAATTTGGAAGTGGGGGGAAATAAGCAGTCGGTAGCCACGGATATTTGACGAATTTTAGTGATTTTTTAAAATTAAGTTATTTGATAGGCATCGTCCTCCTGTAAAATGACTTTATATATGTTTTGTAATGTTGTAATAAAAAAAATGAATTAAACAACGAGAAACAAAGAGTATGCGAGAGACCTATTTATTTTAAAACCTGTTTTCCATGGCATCTTATGTTAATACATTACAATATACCAATTACTAGATCTAACCACGTATAATGTGCAATATTGTGTAAATTATAAATGCTACCAAGTATCATTAAGCAACGAAAGTACCAAATATATTAAAACGGTTTTCGTTGTTTACACAAAACTCATTGGCAACTTTGACAAGATCTAAAGCATCTGTTTTGTCATTGTGGATATGTAAAACATACAATGATTGAGACGGACTTGAGACATAGTAGATCGTAAGTATGTCTTAATGCGCCGTAATGCACTGAATGATCATTCACTGACAGCATTTGTTGCAGGCTAACTAACACAATATTAAACAATTTTCCAACCTCATAAAATAGTGACTTCTGACTAGAACTTAATGATTTCCAATAGTTTAACACTTCATGAAATGTTTTCAATGTTGTTGATTCGGTCTTGTTTGATTCAAGAATGTTGAGAACATAGACAAATTGGATTCCAAGTTATGCTTATCAAAATCACCTTTGTAAAAATCAGTAATAAAGTGAAGTTCATCAGATATATATTCAGCCACTCTCATTCATTGTGAGGCGGAAGTTTTTGTCGCAATGTTTTTCAGTAATATTTCTCAATCAGAAGATATTTTATTAAATACGATACGACACATTTTCTTGGGAAAAAGTTGGGATGTTTTTCAGTAATATATTTCTCACTCAGAAGATCCTGACTGCTTCTCACATCAAACAGCTTGAGCACCTAACAACTTGCAATATTCAAAATGTGAGTCAATGAGTTGTTTAAATAATGATGATTGTGACGATGATGAGATGATGAAATGATGATGATAATGATGGAGATAATGATGATGGTGACAGTAAAAACTCTGATTGCGGTAGTGACAACAGAAAAAGACAGGACAATGACAAAAGGACATCAGTGCAACCAGGGGCAGATCCAGAGGTGTCCGAAAGGGTGGCTAAAAGAGAGAACACACCACCCTTGGAGGTCCGGGGGAATTTCCCAGCGAAATTGTTGTTTTCTAGACTCCCAAAAATAACCTGAGGCTTTTTGGGTGATCAATTTTTTCTTTTTCTTTCTTTCTTTATTTTTTTAACTTTCCAAAAAGGGGTGCGGGGGTGTGGCCGGGGGTGGGGGCATGTAAATCTTCCCCTGATACAACAAGATGACGACAGGACGGCGACAAAAGCAATGACCACAAAGATGCCAAGACAAAATTGATAATGATGGTAACAAAGACGATGATGGTGCTTGTGATGGATGATGATGACAAATGATAGTGATATTAATAAAAATAAATAGGATGGTGATAATGATACTGATGGTGGTGGTATAATAATGGTGACGTGGTGATTACACTTACATAGAGATGATACTGTCTCTTATACACATCTAGATGTGTATAAGAGACAGTATATATAGCATAAACCATCTTAATTTCTAGCAAAATTGAAATTATAAATAGAGATAGGGCCGTATTGATAAAATCTTTGTACTCTGGAATGATCATATTTGCCAATTAAATAAGACTATATTATATATAGCATTTTTTTTTTTACTTAATCGCTCTTTTAAATGATTTTTGTAAAACTACAATCCAATCATTTATGGATTATGCCCCTGGTTTTTAATTAATTTATTTGAAGGGCCAAATTATTTTTACAGTTGATCTTGCGGGCCAAAAGATAATCTCAAAGTTAGTAAGCAACTTGTTATACTATATGAAAAATTATTACAAAACAAAAGTGGTGGAGCCAAGATTTGCCCGATGGCAGGGGAGGGGCGATGTCCCGGAACCTCTAAAGGGGACCAGGGGCGCCCAGGGCCCTAAAGCCCTGAAAATGTAGAGATTTTGAATGTTCGCACGGCCTCATATTCTGTAAAAGCAACATAGATTATTTTTTCCCTCCCAAAAGAATTGTGTTGATTCTCTGTCGGTTGGGAGGGCGGGCAGCCTCTCTCTGACCCTAACTGGAACCATCATTTAATATCAAAAATATATATATTCATCAAATGATTATTACATGTAAAACAATTTAAAAATTATTTTAATAATACACAACTGTGGGGATTAATTATTTTAAATTATTGTGGGATTGATCTTTTACAAATTAACTGGAGATTTCTTTATGAACTTAAAAATACGCCCCAGTATGTATAATTGCACATCAAAAGAATTGACTGATATTGTATTTAAAATTTTCCTAACATAAATAATTAAAGTAGAGAAATACGTTTTTCTATAAATTTATACGAATGGAGTCGGGAATAAAGGATTTTCTGTACCTTAAGTGTTGGAAATTTCAATCTAAAACCAGACCTGCTATGTAATTGTTAACCACGAAATATTTAATTTCTGTTACCATGCCTTTATCAATTAAATGTGAAGTCAATGGATCTGGCTATCAATAATGTAGGCTTAATGTCCCCAAACACGGTCAATCAATCAATCAATCAATCAATCAATCAATCAATCAATCAATCAATCAATCAATCAATCAATCAATCAATCAATCAATTATTGGATCCAATTTGATACAGTAGCACTCATACAAAATGCATGGTGCATACAAAAGTAAAGAAACATACAAAAATAAAATAGGCCTGCATTAAATTACTAGCTATTGGTTCGGTTTCACAGTAAATTTATCAGATGAGCGACGATCATCTGATAACCAAAAATACTAGTCTGGCGCCCCCTAGAGTTTCGATGTTTTTGTTGACGCAGTAACAACTGCACAATACTTACATGATACTGTATAGTAACTCCGTTACATTGTCGGCTGTACCATGTAATTGATAACGAAATAATTATTCTATGTTATTGTATTCTAGTTTAAACACTTTTTGAGTTTTTAATTCAAAAAATAAAATATCATATACAAAACAAATTGTTATTCCAAACAGAATTATAAATTAATATGTGTACGTATCTAATGATAAAGAATAAACACATTTTGTCTGACATTTGTATAAGATGCTTTAAATTTTTTTAGTTAATCAATATAATATATAAGTATTTGTATTTGTTATAAAACTCTAATCAAGAGAAAGAGGTTTAAAATATAATATTTCGAAAAAATTATGATTCCGAACAGATAGGGAGCCCATGCCCATAGTAGGCCCTATCCAATGATAAAGATAGGCAGATTTTGAAAATAGCATAGGTTTAAAGTTTGGTAAAATCGTTAATTATTCGTTAAAACATATATGTGTTTGGATTACTTTTAAACTCTACTCAAGAGAAAGTCAAATATGATCTTAAAAATATAGCTTTAAAAAAAAATATGATTCCGATCAGATGGGATAACAGAATTTATGTATCTAATGATAAAGAATAGGCAGATTTTGTCTGAAAGTAGTATAGGTTGAAAGCTTGGTAAAATCGTTAATTAGTCGTTAAAACATATATGTGTTTGGATTACTTTTAAAACTCTACTCAAGAGAAAGCCAAATATGATCTTAAAAATATAGCTTTTCAAAAAAAATATGATTCCGAACAGATGGGTCTACAGAATTTATGTATCTAATGATAAAGAATAGGCGATTTTCTCTGAAGTCAGCATAAGCCTAATGATAAAGAAAAATGTTAACTAGTGGATAAAACATATCATTGTCTGTATTCTTTTCAAACCTTTATACAAAAGAAATATATCTAGAATGTTAAAAATACAAAATTCATAAAAAATTATGATCTGAACAAAACCCTAAATGAACTAAAAAATTTTCAATGCAAAAGAATAGGGAAAAGCGTTCAGAAAAAAAATGCTAAAATTTACGATTTTAAACGATTTAGCTTTAAATTGTTAGTTAATTTGTAATAATATTTTAATATTTAATTGATTGTGATTATTTAATGTAATTATGATGTGATTAAGTTGTGTTTATATGTGATATTTTGTGTATGTGTGATAGTTGAATGTGTTTTGTTATCATCGTATTTTCTTGTTTTCGTAGGGCGTCTGGCCGTTATTACATCTGATTGTGTTCCGCATCGCACCAGGTGATGTCGTCGCTGAGAGTTTTAAATCAGCGACGGCAGAAGCTGTGGACTACGTGTATCCGGTGAGTAGAATTATGTATCATTACAATTACGACATCAACACACAAAATACAACAACACAGTATCTATACACAACATACCATACACCACTCTACATCAATTCTTACCTAACAACAACAATTTATTACACTTAAAACATATTTTAATCATTTATTCACAATATAAATATGATATTTTATTGTATTTTACGATCAATATTGATCATTTATTGTTTAAATTTCCGCATCGTTAACGTGTAAAAATAACATTGCTTGGCTGAGTGGCAGCAGTTCATCATGCCATGGGCCAAAAAAAACTTGTCTAAAATTGCTGGAAATCAGGTTTACATAAAAAATTTCAATTCATGTTTGGTGTTGTTTTAGTCCACATTGAACACTGGATTGAATAGTTATACTTTTAATTAAATTTTCCATAAAAAATACAATACCTAATTTTTTGTTTTTTAAATGATGATTTTTAACATGTACAAAACATAGGGCGTCCATGTTGTGTGATACAGCATAATGAATGTAAAAAAATTGGTTTATAGTTTGCTGAAAATCAGCTTTACATGAAAATTTCACAATCGTGTTTGATCTTGTTTTGATCTGTATTGAGCACTGAATTCAATAATTGCAATTTTAATTAGATACTCCATAAAATTTAATTACCTAAAAAATATTTTTTTTAAAGAGATGTGTTGTATTCTCTGTTTTCATATTCCTTGTTCATTGTGTAGGGCTCTGGTAAGTGTATTCTACATCACATTGCAATACTCGGATATGCACAGGAAATGAGAGAATCTCTGATGATTTCTGCACGCAATGTCAATTTGCAAGACAAGCGGGTACGTATAGGAAACAACACATTATTCATTATAAACACTAAATGACAATTCACCATCTTCAAATTTATTAATCCATCATCACAAGCATTTATCACAATTTCATTATCATTGTTAATAGCCAAGACATAATAAATAACAATAAAAAATATAGGCCTCATATGGTTTTAGTTTTTAATACTTCGACGGGTTTTTTTTGTGGAGCCAATTTGATGCCCTACTGAGAGCTAGGCCCAGACACATTATTTGAAACTTTTACGTGTTATTTAGGTCACAGACCTTGGCACTTGATTAAGGCCTGTCTGATGGTGACACTTGTCTATAGAAGGCTGCTGTGAAATGCAAGGCCTGACTGGTGGAGTCGAGCGGCCTATGTCTTATGAATGATGTAAATTACTATTATTATAGGCATAGTAAATTCCGTTGTCTTATAAACGCTGATACACTGATACACTGAGACGCTGATACACTGGGACGTTGATACGCTGAGACAAAGATGACGTCATTGAAATTCACTGCAAAGTCATATGCACTGAGTGGAATCGAAAGTGCAGGGTTCTCAAGTACTACTGAACGTCCGTAGTTACTACGGAAATTCGGCCCAATTACGGACCTCCTA